AGCGAGCCGAGCCGAGCCGAGCCCGGCAAGCCGAGAGCGGCCCCAGACGGCGCTGGTCCCCCAGGCCCGGCCCTACCTAGAGACGCGCCAGCTCAGCCAGAGACGCGGCCGCACCACCCTCGGCCCAGCCGCAGCCGTCTGCGCACTTCCGCTTCCGCTCCGAGCGCTTCCGCTCGCGGGACCGCCCCGCGCGGGGGGCGGGGCCTGCGCGGTCGGGCCCCGAGGCGCCGGGGAAGCGAGCTGCGCAGGCGCCACGCCCGTTGCCTCGGAAACCGCGCGGTGCTTCCGAGGTCGGGGTCGCATGGTCCCGCGGCCGCTCGTGGGCGTCGGCGGGGCGCAGCCTCTTTCCCCTCCTTCCCGGCGGTGCTGCGCTGGCGGCGGGAGGGTGGTTTGAGGTCGGCTGGCCCGGGCGTGTTCGCCTGCGGGCGTGTGGGGGCCGACGGTGACCCGGAGCCCCTGGCGCCAGTTTTTCGGAGGCCCAGGGGAGCCCGCGGCCGGCTCGGGAGAGGGTCGGGCTCGCCTGAAGCGCGGCCGTCCCGGAAGGCCGTGGGCGGTTCCCGCGCTGTCCGAAAGCAGAGCGCTCTGCGGAACCTTCCCGAAGTCCGAACGGTGCAAAGCGAAGACCTGCCTTCGTGTGGTCATGGCTTTTTTCATGTAGACGAAAATCCTCTTCGGATTTCTTGGGGTTAGCTTTCCTAAAATGGAAGTGGGGTAGCAAACGTTACCATCTCTGAATGTGCCCATTTCCATTTGAGGCATGGGGAGAGGTGGTGGGAATACGGAATGGGATGTGTGACCCTGGGCAAGTTTCTTAAGGTCTGTACCCTCCGCTTCCTCACCTGGGAAGTTGGGACAATAATGGGACTTCCCAGGCAGTGCTTAGAAAGGCTATAGCAGAGCGCTTGGCCCTTAGTAAGCACTTCGTACATTTTGGCCATTTGTTGGTATTGCTGCTGTGATGATGATCATAATTACCCTCCAGTCCACGTTTTTTTACTGGGCAGGTTTTCCAGTCTGAATGGAGTGGCGAGAGTTGTGGGGATGAGCAAGGACAGGTGCAAAAGCATGAGGCTTTGGAGAAATTTCGGTGACTGTAATGTAGTCATGAGGAAGTGGTGGCAGATAAAACTGGATGGTGAGCAGGAGCACCTGGTCATGCAGTGTCTCCGTCTCATGTTAACGAGCTTGGACTCTGCTTGTAAGCCACCATATCGACTTTATTTCTAAAACTGCTTTTAGATTGGTAAAGTTCATGTTCAGGACATGCACCCTTAGGCTCAGATGTCAGGCAGTCCAGATTATACCCACCGCCTGGTCCTCTAGCTGCAGCAACACCCTTTGCCCTCACTGGTAGCCAAGTGTGATGGCAGAAGAATAGCCTTTAAACCAATCTATTTTTAAGTAAATTACTGACAAAGTAAAATTACTAATAAACTACCAGTTTATTTAAGCTGCATCTCAAAACCTGTCTGTACACACAACATATCTCAGTAGAGTTGCTGTAAGCACCAGGGAGCGAGAGGCTTCAGTTGAAGTAAAATGACCAAATAGTGTTCTCTTCAGAGTCTCTTCCAAAGAGACTTAACCAAAGCATTACCAAGTTGAAGTGACAGCACATATATAGTTTTGGGAAGGAGTCTTTCTGCCCAGCACACAAGGCTCTCCTTTCCTGTTGACTTTTTTTTTTTTGAGTAAAATCAACGGTGCTCAGCACCTACTACTGGTTGGGTACCACACCAAGAAGGGTGTGAAGTGGTCTCTAATCTTAAGGAGCACACATTGCGGTAGGGAAGAAAGATGAACGTACATTAAATATTAGGAAACAAGTGAAACGTCGTGTAAAGTCTATAGCATTGGACGAAGAAGGCAGCAAGGAGCTAGCATATGAACTGAGCCTGGCAGGAAGTGGGATCTCAGACAATTAGAAGAGGAAGGTCTTGCAGGCAGAAGGAGCACCTAGGAAACAAACGGAGGTTGGAACTGAGGTGGTGCAACGGGCAGGCAGGGACACCACTTACAGGCTGTGCTGAGCCAGACTGAGGAGGCAGAGGGCAACAGGCCAAACAAAAGCCCTCCCTGACTGCTTGGGTGAGTCCCACCACTTGGCAGTCTTACCTACCTCATAGAGCTTTCGATAAGCATCTCTGCCTCCCTCCTAAATAGATACACATGACTAAGGATCAACAGACATTTAAGGAAGACAGAAAAAAAGGAGAAAACAAGGAAAAAAAATACTAAAAACATGATCTGTAGTCTCTGAAGATAATATATTCATCAGAGAAACAGAGAGGGGTATATAAAAGAACATTCCAAAAATAAGAGCTCTTGAAAATTATACAAGAAATGATAAACTTAAAAAGTGTTTAAAGTTAAAATATAAATCTGATGGTACCTCTCAGATATTAGAATAAAAAGAATAAGAGATCGAGAGAGATGAAACATAAGAAAATTAGAAGATTAAAGTTTGACATGTGAAAAATAGGAATCACAAGAAAGAACAGAGAAAATGAAGAAGAAATTACTCAAGAAGTAATTAAAGAAAACTTCCCAGACCTAAGAGACATGTTCTCAGATTGAAAAGGTTGCCAGTGGACTCCGGGAATCAAACGGACGGTCACAGAAGGGAGGGGGTGCAGGGATGGGTAACTGGGTGATGGGCAATAAGGAGGGCACATGTGGGGATGAGCGCCAGTGGACTCCGGGAACCAAACTGAGGGTTTCAGAGGAGAGGGGGGTGGGGGGAGGGGGTAACCGGGTGATGGGTATTAAGGGCATGTGTGGTGATGAGCACTGAGTGTTCTACACAACTAAGGAATTGTTGAACACTATATCAAAAACTAATGATGTACTATATGCTGGCTAATTGAACATAATAAATAAATAAATAAGAAATAAAAAAAGAAAAGTGTTGCCAAATGCCCAGCACAATGAACCTAAAATGATCCACACTAAGGCACATCATGAGATTTCAGGACACCAGGATTAAAGAAAAGATCTTAAACATTTCCATAGGGAAAAATAAAAAGGTCACATTTAAAGTTTTGGAATTCAGAAGGGCATGGGACTTCTCAACAGAATCCCAGGAAGCTGAAATTCAATGGAGATTTAACTTCAAAATTCTGAAGAAAATAATTCTAAAGTGGAATTCTCTCAATCAAAATATTAGTTAAGTGTGAGGGTAGAATAAAGATATATTGAGGTATGCAGCTCAAAAATATTATCTACCAAATACTTTATTCAGAAACCTGCTGAAGGATACTCTCTAAAACCAAGAAGTCAAGAAAGAGGAATATTTAGGACTTGGGTAGCAGGGAATCCAAGTGAGGAGAGAGGAGAGGAGTCCTAGCTAGAGACCATTTAAATTGGAGCAGGAGGCCTCCCAGAGACATAATTCCTGGAAGGTGAGCCCCATGGAATATCTGATGTGTCTGAATATTTTAAAAGAAGATCTTTGGAGTTTGGTGATGGTAAGCAATAGGTACATAGAAAAGTCAACAAGCAAATAAATTAGGCAATTGTTGAATCCAGTAAAGACAAAAAACTGTACAAAAAAGAAAATGTAATCACAGCATATGCCTCAGCTATGAATAATTACATAGTTTTAATAAGGTAAATACAGAATGGTAATTTAATATAAATGGATACTCTAATTACTTTTTGAAAAAATGGGAGGTAAACTTACATGTGTTCGTAAAAGTGTGTGTGTAGGAAATCTGGTGGAAGAGCTAAATCTTCATCTGCTAGAGCTGGGCAGTCCATGGACAATATATGCAGGTGAAAAAGACAGACATAGCATTAGAGACTCTTTTTTTAAGAAATATAAGAGTAGGGATGCCTGGGTGACTCAGTTGGTTAAGCATCCACCTTCAGCTCAGGTCATGATCCTGGGGTCCTGGGATCAAGTCCCACAGGCTCCCCGCTCAGTGGGGAGCCTGCTTCTCCCTCTTTCCCTAGCCCTGCTGGTGCTCTCTCCTGCTACCGCTCTCTGTCAAATAAATAAAATCTTTTAAAAAAAGAAATATGAGAGTAAATTTTTAAAAAAATAGCTAAAAGTTAAGTTAGAGGAAGGAACTGAAAATGGGAATGCTTGATGTGGGCAATTGCTATTTTTAAAAATAAATCTAAAAAAAATAAATCTAGAAATAACATTTGAATTTTTAAAATCTGTATTACTTTGATAAAAGGAAAACATCTTAACTTCAAGTTTTAAAAATTTGTTAAGTAACTAGTACAAGTGGTAGTAAGTGGCACAATTATTATTCAAATTCGAATCTGTCTAAATTCTACAGGCTTTTAAAAATTTTTTTACAACCACAGTGCACAACAGTGAAAGAAAGGAGAAGCCAAAGATTCTTTTGCAGGTCCCTTTCCCAAGGCACTAGAAGAAAAGTTGAACATGGGTATCAGTGTAACAGAAGCAAAAAAGTTATGTGTGATTATTCACATCCTTTCCCCACCTCCCGCTTGACACCACACATAAACGCTTCCCATGCCCTATTGTGCACATCAGACATCAGCTTGAGGGGCGCCTGGGTGGCTCACTTATGCGTCCGACTCTTGGTTTTGGCTCAGGTCATTATCTTGGGGTCATGTGAGATGGAACCCCGCGTCAGGCTCCCTGCTTGGGATTCTCTCTCTCCCTCTGCCCCTTCTGCCCCTCTCTCAAAGAAAGAAAGAAGGAAGGAAGGAAAGAAAGAAAGAGAGAGAACAGACATCAGTTTGGGGGAGAATCTAAAAATGGGATGGCAGATTTATGTAAAAGAGAAAAATAGGAAAGGAAAGAAGAAAAAAGAAACCATAGGTTGAAAGTAGGGAGAAGGGAATTAAGGGAGAGTAGTATGTTAAAGAGAAAGACTTCACGTCAACTGTGAGAAAGAGAAGAAACATGGAGCATGAAATGAGTTTGGGAAGGACGGGACTAGGGCAGGTTTCTCTTGGTAACAAATAGCCTTCAAAATTTATTTGGAGTTAGTTTTAATTTTACTTGAATGCTGGACTGAATTTCTTTGAAAGCCACAACCACATGGGTTGATGTGGTTTGTTTTTTTTTTTTTAAGATTTTATTTATTTGAGAGAGAGAGAGAGAAAGAGAGCACTAGAGAGAGAGAAAGAGAGCACTAGAGAGAGAAAGCAAGC